CTGATCTAGCCAACAATGTTTACTTCTTATTATTACCTGCGTCCCTCTTATAAATACACAAAGCCCATAGGTGGATTTTTTTATCATCAACTGAGCTAATCAACATCAAAACAGATTTCCACATTAAAGTGCCCATTCTTGATATATAGCATTCCTTTCCCTATGTATCTCATGATGAGCGTAAGAGTTTCTCAATATTTCTTTTTGAAAGTTTGCTAGTGATGACTTAGAATTCCTGACAATTGAAACATTGCGTCTGATGACAATAAAATAGATGGATTTATCAACAAACTTGTGATAATGAGCACCGTCCTAAAAACTATTCTTCTTAAGTGGTCAAAAGCAAGATTCTAAGTATCTTCAAGAGTTGTTTGCATGTTTACAACCTAAAAGATCTATCTCCTCTAGAAGATTGATGGAATTTTTGTTTTTTGAAATAAAGATACTCCTTTTATAATATATCTAAACTCTAGTCCCGTTTGTATTTGGGATGACCTAGAACTTTGGCCAAAAAGCAATTTTTTATATAGTCTTTTACTTCAATAATCACTTTTGATCACTCCCTATAAATACAATGCCATCTACATTTATTGTCAAGATAAAATGCGTTTGACAAAGATGCAATGATAGTGTATCTTGTTCCTTTATGACTGTTGACCTTGCTTAAGTTGTGCTAGAGCTCGAATATTGCATTCACATCTTGGTTGTCTTTAAGTCTTCAGTTTCAATCATCCTAGTATCCACAAACCCGATGATTTGAACTCAGACTTCTTGATTAGTCTCACTTCCTAGTCGTACACATCATCATTATCTCCCTCGATTGGTTGTCTTACCACGGTCATGAATGTCGCTTGATCGTATGTGGCTTGCCATGATCGCAACCGCCAATCTTGCATCTCATCACAATTCTAAAATTTTCATATGATAGTAATGTTAGCGCACTTATTTTTGAATGGTCAGAATTGGCTCATTCAAAATTGATTTGAATTAGTTTATTGTTAATAATTGAGTTTAAAAAATGTGAGATAATAACATATTATATATATATATATATATATATATATATATCAATGTAAATTATCTCACATTTTAAAATCAATTATTGCCAATAAACTAAGTCAAATCAATTTTGAATTAATTATATATATCACGCTATCTATCCAGAATTAAATTGAAAAAAAAAAGAATAATGTATTTGAAATCTTAAACATGTGGTTCTAATAACCATTCCCACTGCTATTGGCCAAAACTACAACCAAACCACTAGAGTTTTTGTTTAAATTGAAATAAAACTCCGAGCATAAGGGGTTCTCTCAATACCTATGATGCACCGATACTTTTCCACAAAGAGGCGTGCAGTGTTCGACACGTATCCGACACAACGCTCGTCCGACACTCCTCCGACACGTGTCGGACACACCAAAAATATGTCCGATTAAAAAAATAATAAAATAAAACCCCCCCCAAAAAATTTTGGGGGCCACACGTTGTCCGACCGCGTATCTTAAATATTTTATGATTTTTTTTTAAATATATTTTTTTTTGTATTTGGAGGGATTTAAACAAAAGTTCTTATTTCCTATCCACAACACCAAATCAACGTCCACACTTAATACCCATTCATCGAATATTCTCATTTTCATTTCTCTTTGGCAGTGAAGGTATTTTCATCTCCTCTCTCGGTGACTGATAAACGACATAGAGGCTTGACTCTTGAAATCCTAATACTAATCATTTTATGCACAAATTCTAATTAAATGACTTATTATTTCTAAATTATTTTTAAAATTATACTTATTTAATTTTTTTACACTATTTTTTAAAATATAAAAACTATAATACCGTGTCCAACCCGTGTCCATGTCATATATTTTCAATAATTGAAGTGTTCCGTGTCCGTGTCGTGCTGTATCTGTGTCACCGTGTCCGTGTCTATGCATCATAGCTCCATACTAACTTCAATTGCTGCCACCGTTGTTGTTCACAGTGGTTTGCACATTCACAGTTGAGATCTCGTTCATAAGGTAATAAACCCACTAATTTCAAAAACACCATCAAACTCATACTTAAATCCTTACAAACACAGTGAGAGTCTTAAGAGTTTACACACAGTTATGATAGTTAGTTAGGCCATGAATGGATAGTAAATAAATAAGAAAAATTGAGAACATTTATAACACATCTAGGATGGGATAAGGCCTTAGCAAGAGGGGCAGCGCATTGCCTAAGCATAAAAGAAGGATTAGCAACAACATTGACAGGTAATATAGAAGGCATGCTAAGGAAGAATGATCTTTACTTACCTATTATATATGCAAAAGCACCACAATCTAAAATTTGGGCCATGCTAGAAGCAGTAGTTACAAAATCATGTGAGAAAATGGCATGGGAGACGCACACAAAGGTTTGAGAGTGCTGAGCTAGGCGACCATAATCCTCCCAAGAGAAAGTGACAGACTAGAAAGAGATAGTTTGAGTGGGAAGTGCAATTAGTAATCATAGAGGTCCCAAAGGCATACTTTACAGTGGAGGGATAACTGATTTTTTCTCAATGCTCTAAATGATGTTTATTAGGCCACCATGGGGGTAAGGGGAAAAAATCTTTCCCCCACAACTAGGGATGTAAACAAGTAAACTTGAGATCAAGTCAGGTCTAACTAGAGACCAGCTCGCCTACCCAATGGTAGGCTCATACTCAAGTTCAAGCTTGAGTAAAGCTTGAGCGAGCTCGAGCTTAACTAACAGGAAGAACAATGAGCTCGAGCTTAACTAACAGGAAGAACAATGAGCTCGAGCTCGACTCACCAAATTTTCAAAACCAATCTGATGAGAACTCATCCGAGATAGAATCAATTGGAGCTCAATGGAGAAGGCATCGACAAAATAAACAAAGTGGGGCGAAGTCACAATGGGAACTTACTAGAGGTAGCAGCAGCAGGACTAGCTATTTTGGGGGAAGTTGGCATGGAAGCTTGTTATAGAAGGCAACAACGAGAACAATGACATTAAGGAAATCATATGAGAGCTTGCTAGAGAAGGTAGTGGCAGAACTAAAGGCATTAGGGAAGAAGAGTGTGAGCCCTAAATCAAATGACAATTTTTTTTCAAACATACTCACAAGCTACTTAGCCGAGTCAAGTCAAACTCAAACTTGAACTCGTATATTACACGATCTCTAAGCTCAAGCTCAAGCTGATGGCTTGATAATTAGACTCATGAGCTTGATAATGAATATAGTTTGAGATGGCTCAGCTAACTTAAAAACCCTATGTAAAGCAATGATCATTTTTAATCAAGTTCATGAAGTCCCATAGGAAGGAAAAATCAATAAGAAATCAATAAAGAGGTTGAATGAATGCTCAATAACTCGAAGAGCCCATAAGGATCAATTGCTATGTTGAGGATTATAAAATTTGCCATTAGTTGAGCTTATACATGCTAAAGTGATAAACAAAGCTCAATGAACATTTTAGCAACAAGCAACCCCTTATTCTATTTTTGTCGAACCATCAGATCAATAGTAAAGGATCTATTCTATAGTAGCCTACCACACTTGACCCATAGAGAATTGCAGTATTCCTAAATGAGCAGATCATTATGCTATAAAGTAACAAGCTAAAGCAAATAGTATGTATTGGGAAATGTTACTTTCCTATAAGTGGTTGGAGTAAGCCAGTAAGGAAATCCAAACATTTCATCAACATCTCTTGAATCATGGCAATTGAGGCAATAGATGATTTTAGACAATTACGCATCCCGGTGAGAACAATATAATAGACGCTTATCATTTGAAAAACTTAATGATGACATTCTGAGTTGGGGGAGATGCATGAAGGTGAAGGAGTTTGTCATTAAAATCAATAAGGAAGCAAAAGACTCTCAACCATTTGAGATGGTTTACCAATTAATTAACCAATGATGGAAGAGGATTTTAATTCATTGAGAGGATGTTGAGAAGCCATGATACTTTTAAGTGAGTGAGAGCTACATATAAGAGAGGCAACTCAAATAATTAGTTAATGGATAATCATAGAGCGATATAGGAGTTGGTTGTGCCTTGGAGGAACGCGTAAGAGGCAGCAAAAAAGAGCTTTAGCCCGCAAGGCATGATGGCAAAAAGAGAAAAAAATCGGTGCAACTAGGTTGTGCACGTAAGCATTTGAGTTTGGAAAGGTGAACGAGCGAGATGTATTGTTGAATGCTAGTGAGCAGATGTGCAAATGAGCTTGCACAATGGAGCAACGTCGGAGGGAGGCATGCAGGTTTTAGACTGGAAAAGAAGAGGGGGAGGACAGCAACTAAGGTTACTAATACCACTCTTATATCAATTGAGATTTATGCGTGCATTTTCCACTTGAGGGATCCCTTATTTATAATAGGTGAATTAGTGCGATGTCATGGAGGATACCAAAAACTAAACATGGCCCACTTTCTTTAATTGAGAAACTTTCTTAAACTAATGCGAATGCTAACATTAGACCATCCATACTTCCTCCTAGTTTTGTTTTAAGTGGCTTTCATCGCCTTCATTAATACTAAAAGAAGAATATATTTCACTATATTTACTTGGAAAAAGTAGATAAAAGCAAAGTTGCAATCTATTGCAAAATCTATTAAAACCCGACCTTACCTCCATTTGGCTGCATTCAATTTACATTGCTGCTAAATCCAAACATGCAAAAGGAGATCGTCACATTGAACCAAATACTCTAGTAAAAAAAAAATTCATAGTGTATAATATATTTAAAAAAGTAAAATCTCAAGCATTCCAGTTAGAGCAAATCTCATAAAAATTATATTAGAATGCAATCTCAAAATATAAGAATCACGGTTGCATTCAATTAGAAAAGTACCATACATTAAAAAAAAACTTCGGTTTGTTATCATGCTTGCTACAAGGAAATTCAATGTGACTACTACATTAATACAGGGCTTTTCATAAAGTTCAGTGCCACATCTAAATTAAGCTATGGACAAGAAAGGGTGGTAAGGTAGATTACCATAGGAAGCAAGCTCTTGAAAGGAGCATAAATCTCCTCCCCGTTGAAGGACCCAACCCTAATGGTGGAGGCTTGGGTTAGTGATCCAAAATAGTTGGCCTGCTGAACATTATCCTTTGTGGCCCATGAGATCCCCCTGTTTTCCATCATCCATTCCAAAATTTAAACATCAAGCTATTTTATAATTCAAATAAACAACTATAATAAACAAAAACAAGTAATAGCTAGGGTAGGAATGGTTCAAGTAAAATTGAAATCAAACCATTAATTTTCACAGTGATTCAAATCTAGCAGACCAACAAAATAAAAATAAAAAGCAATATAAAATAAAAACTGAACTGAACAAAAGTAAAGTCAAATCTAATTCAACCATACAATTGTACTTTCGACTTAAATTTAGAAACCATAAAATCATAGTTGCAGTGCATTGGCTTGGTTTAATTGGTAATTGGTTAACTCAGTTATATTAGGTTTTTTTTTATAGAGAGATTTACATACATACCACTTTATATCATGCTATTTACATATCTAACTCTCAAAACTTTAAGATTTCATGTCTATCACACATAAACAACTTTAATATCAAATAAGCTACTCTTATATTTCACTCCTACCACTCATACCATCCTATAAATTTTAAAATTTCATTCCTTGCATCGAAATTTAACATTGTCATTGCCACGTCACAAGTCCTGGATGAGAAAAATAAAGGGCTGTGTTAAGAAAAGAGATGGGCATCTCATCACTTATAAAAATGGGCATATTAAAACTTAGATTGATTATTTTCTTATAAGAAGATTAGATCGTTTAAATTGGAAATATTGTAAAGTTATTGCGAGTGAAAATTTATGTACCAACATCAATTATTAATTTTGAACTTTAAGATAAATGGATAGAAAAAAAAGTTAAACGATGTTCTAGGATTAGATAGATGCATTTAAAGAATATTAACAAAAATATTTTTAAGAGTAAGATTTTAGGTATTAGGATTTTGTCTATGCATGAGTATGCTAATGTTATATGAGAAAAAATGACTAGTGATATTAAGATTATTGCAAAAGCAAAGGGTAAAGCTCCTAATAGTAAAAATAGTTTGTGGTGAAATCTATATGTGCAATGAAAGATAAAAAATAAGAAGATTTGTTATAAAATCTGGTTTAAATATAAGAATTATGATAATTATGATAGATATAAAGAGACACGTAAGAAATCTAAAAAAATAATATGATATGCAAAGATCTTATCTTTTAATGATTTATATAATATATTAGATACTAAGGAGGGAGATATATATATATATAAGTTAGTCAAACAAATAGATATGAGTAGTAATTATTTAGCTCAAGTGATGTGTATTAAGGATGAAGATCAAAAAATATTTTTCTTAAAAGTTAATATTCAACAAATGTGGATGACATGTTTTGCTAAACTTTTTAATAAAGATTGTGAAAAATACAATTGACTTTAGTGACCTTAACACCCTAAATGAAAATAAAGATTTTTGTTTTTATCGGCGTATCAGTAAAAATGAAGTTAGAAATGCTTTAAAGAAAATGAAGTGTGAAAAAACTGTTGGACCTGATGATATTCCAACAAAGGTGTGAAAATGCTTAGGAGATGAAGGAATTTCTTGGTTTACTAAATTTTTTAATAGTGTTTTGAAGACTAAAAAGGTTTCATATGAGTGAAGAATGAGTATGTTAATTCTTATTTTTAAGAATAAATGTGATGCACAATATTTTGCAAATTATACAGGAATTAAGTTAATATGTCATACTTTAAAACTTTTGGAGCGAGTTATTGAGCATAAATTGTGGCGTGATACTAATGTTTCTCAAAATTAATTTGTATTCATGTCAGGTAGGTCTACTATGGAAGTCATATATTTATTGAGAGGTTTGATGGAGAAATATAGATAATATAAGGAGGATCTACATATGATATTTATTGATTTAGAGAAAGCATATGATAAAGTTTCAAAAGAAGTGTTATGGAAAGTTCTTGAAACGAAATGAGTTAATAACACTTATACTCAAATCGTTAAAGATATGCATGCAGGAGCTATTACTTGTGTGCAAACACAAGGTGGTTTGATATTTTCCAATTTCGGTTGGATTACATCAAGGTTCAGCCTTAAGCCCATATCTTTATGCTTTAGTCATGGATGTTCTCACTAGACATTTGCAAGAGAATGTATCTTGGTGTATGCTTTTTGCTGATGATATTCTTCTTGTTGATAAGACTAGAGAGGGAGTTGAAGGTAAACTTGAATTATGAAAGTAAACTTTAGAGTCTAAAGGTTTTCGCTTGAGTAGATCTAAAACAGAATATATGGAGTGTAATTTTAATAGTAATAGTCTAATATACCTAGAGAGGGGATTGTGACTTTGAGCGATCAAGTCATTAATAAGAGTACACATTTTAGATATCTTGAATCTATTATTCAGAGTGATGGTGAAATAGATGGAGATATTATCAACAGAATTCAAGTTAGATAGTTGAAATGGAGGAATGCATCAGGCTTTATGGTGCTGAATGTTGGTCATTAAAAGAGAAGCATAATACTAAGTTAAGTGTTGGAGGGATGAGAATGCTCAGGTGGATGAGTGGCTTTACCCTTAGATATAGGATACGAAATGAGCATATACGTGAAAAGGTCGGAGTAGCTCCAATGGAATATAAGATTAAAGAGAATCGCCTTAGTTGGTTTGGTCATATAAAACGGCAGCCATCTGATGACCCGATTAAGAAAGGTAAAGGTAGACCTAAAAAGACTTGGTTAAAAAATATTACAAATAATCTTTCTTTATTAGATTTAAATGAGAATTTGACTTTTAACATAACGCAACGGAGAAAAATGATTCATGTAGCCGACCCCACGTAGTGGGACAAAGGCTTGATGATGTTGTTGTTGTAGTATTTCTTACGTCGATATTTGATCTATGGGTGATAGGCATGAAATATTAAAATTTTGGATGTTAGATATGTAAATAGTATGATATAAAGTGGTATTTATGTAAATCCACTTTTTTAATGTAATCAGTATAGTATTAATTTAACCTTTTGCCTAATATATTCAAGAAAAGATAAGATTTTCTTTTTTATTAGATAGCAAGATATGCATATCGCAATATGGTCAAAGCTAACTTTATTTATTTTTAAAACAGCTTATTTAATTAATAAAAAACAAATCAAACTGAAAAACTTTATTATTTATTTTTCCACATAATCACCAAGAAAAAAAGAAGCTAAAATACATACTCCCTATTAGCAATCACCGCAGCAGTGAGAGTGGATCCGTTGTTTCCTCCCCAACCTACGAGCATCACACTGGCACAAAAACAAGGAAAAAAAAAATAAGATATTGAAATGGAACGCCAGAAACCTAAAATGAGCGTTAGCGTTGGAATTACCCGAGCTTGGGGACACGGGTATCGGTCTTGAACTCGTATACGACGGTCTTAGGCTTCACGATCCAGGCATAGGATCCATTCCGGCTCTCGTGAACCAATTCCGTGGTTTCGTAGTTGTAAATGGAGTGGATCTCTTGATCTCCATACTTCACATTAGGGCTCTCGACCTTGAAGCTTTCGACGAACATTTTCCCTTTCTTCTTTTCCTTTCTAGAGCTTGGAAGGAGATGGAAGAGAGGTTCAATGCGATCAAAAAAATATCCTTTCACCTCTCCTCCCTCACAGCTCTTATCTCTTCGCGCTCGGTTCCAACTTGGCACTTGCCAGACCGTGTTTTACTATTTATAGATATTATGCAGGATGAAGCGGCATGGGAAATGGCTTCCGGGCCCCGTACCCCGTGTACTACAAACAAATCTCGCACGTGCGAAGAAGCGTGCCCCGTGGAGTTTTCTAGTGTACTCCGTCGAACACGTGAATGCACTAGTTTTTAATAAATAATACTTACCTATAACTTTTCCCCAAAAATACTTACCTACAACGTAATTCATCTATTACATATTTAGGCTTTCTTTGGGACGGCTTTTTTACTACTTTTAAACGAAGTTTTAGTACAAATTTTTTTATTTTTTACTAAAACTCCATTTTAAAAAGCAATAAAAAAACAGTCTCAAACAAAGCCTTAATCAATATTTACTTATTTAAGCATCTTAAATATATGAAACATATATATATATATATATATGAAAATATTTATTTTACATTATAAAATGAATATCAATGACATTTTTATATAACAACTTCAAGCCTTTATCTCACAATATAGGGTCGATTACATGAATCTTTTTCTTCATTATGTTATTATAAGAATCAAATTATTAATTATTTATAATAAAAATATCTTTCCTAATATTTTCTAATCAAGTCTTTTTAGATCTAATTGTACATAATTTAACATAGGTCAAATCATATATATCTATGCTTGTAATCGGGTCATTGGAAGATCAATGATTTATGTGATCAAATCATCTAAGACGATTATGTAATCTTATTTGTCGCTGTAGCTATTCCAATCTTTCACATATATACCTGTTTCGCATTCTATCTGTAAGAGTGAAGTCACTCTTCCACCGGAGCATCCTCATCTCTGCAACTTATGCTTGTCTTTTAATGACCAACATTCTGTGTCATAAAGTATTGCAAGTCTAACTACTACCTTATAGAAATTTTTCTTAATTATAGGTACTTTTCTATCAGACAATAAGCCCCGATGTATTTAACCATCCAACTTGAATTCAACTAATAATATCCCCACCTATTTCATATGATTTAAAATTTTAAATGTTATATTGATAAAACAACAATTATAAAATAGATATACATAGTGTAATCCGATAACTATATGTAATCCAATAACTATAACAGAGAATAATCAAATAAAGCATAGAATAATCAAATAGTTATAATGCATTATAATTCAATCAACCAATTATAATATAATAGATTTGAATTTAAATAATAAATCGAAGAATGGACGTTTACAATAGAAACAAACTAAAATAAATAGAAAAAAGTTATCAACTTGCCAAATTCAAATCAGATTAGCAGATTTTTAATTGTGATGACTCAAAAGCTTTCGATTGGGACAATTTTATATCATTATTTTTTATTGTTTTTATAAAATTTTTGTACTAAAAAATAGCTTTCAAAGCAGTAAAAAAGCCGTCCCAAATTGAAGCCAAAATTTCTTAAAAACCTTTTATCAACTTTCACCTCGAATGTTAATGGTGTTATTGAAAGCTTTGAATGAAAAAATAAATGATGGAATGCCTCTTTCCTCTCTTCTTAACATTCAAAATAAAATATCAGTAAATAGAAATAAATGTTGGAATGCCTCTTTTTCTTCTTTTTAATTTTCCAAATAAAATAACGTTAAAGAGAAAAAGAATGGTTTAATCTTCTCAGTAAGTATTTAAATGTCACAATCAAAAAGATGTTTTTTTCGCAGCAGATATTTAGGCTGTTTTAAAATTGTTGCGAATTTCTCCTTTTCGTTGTGGTTTAACCTGCTACTAGCTGCAGCAGTCTTAACCGGTGCAAATAGCACCGATTTTAACCGCTATCGAAATTCCCCATCGTAATATACATCACTCGAAGGCTCAGTTTGCCCTAATTCTTCATTTCCATCTTGCATTTGCTGCCTGCTAGATCGGAGAGTTTCACACGCTGCTAGCCCTAATATCTTCCTCTTCTTCAACATTCGCCTTCGATCGGAGGAGCAAAAAGTTCAGTCGAAGCCCTCATCTATTCGTTCATCTGGCTGGTCTATCAAGAGCTACTTCTTCCTCTCCTTCGCCCGTTTGTATTTCATTCATATTCTTGTGTATTTTTTTGAACTACATTCGTATGCTTGCCCTATTTTTTGGTAGATCATGCTCTCTAGTCTTGCCCTATTAGGATTTTGAATTGTCTAATTGGTGCCCTTTGAATGAGAATAATGGAAATGAGATTTTGAACTCCATGTATTGTTTTTTTTTTTTTTTTTTGAACTACATGGGTCTTGCTCTAATTGATCATGCTCTCTAGTCTTGCCCTTAGTGTGTAATTTGGAAATTAGCACAATAACATTTTAAACTACATGTATATTTTTTTATAAAGAAATCAATGAGAAAAAATTTTTAGTTTAAATTTACAATAAAAGAACTTAATATCAAAACAAAAACTTTTTATAAGATAATGCCACAAGTAATAAGCAATTCCTTAAAAGGCTTTTAGTATTTCAAAGAATGGCATGCACTTTTCTATTGAAAATCATATAGAGCATCCAATGCATAGAACATGAAACTACTGGGTAATATTTTTATAATTATATTTAGTCTTTGTTCTCCTTCATCTAATTGGATAATATTTTCTTCTCAGAAACTGTTATGAATTTATTTTCTCAGATTTGATCGATAAGAGCTGGATATCAAAACCTAAATGGAGTAGTGATAATGTTAAAGGTGTTGAGAACTTTTTGGAATTTACAGTTCCAAGTCAAAGTTTGGCACAAAAAATTCTATGTACATGCAAATTATGCAGTAACAGTATTTTCATTATGTAAAAGATATCAAGTTGCATTTATTCTATAAAGGACTTTTTCCTAAATACATTGTTTGGAATCGACATGGAGAGAAACATGCTTTTGTAGTTGAAGTAACAATATCATAAATAATTAGTGATACTTATAATGTTAATGAAGTATAAATTCAAGAAGAGCAACTAAGACCAAATGATATAAAAGGATTGTTAGGGGACACATTATGCTCAGACAATGTTAATTTAGATATTGAATATAATGAAAGCAACATAGATCTAACAAATGATGGTGCAAAGAAATTTCATGATTTATTGTTGTAAGCATGAGCAGAATTATATCATGGCTGTAAGTCATTCACAAAGTTATCCTTCATCTTACATTTATTTTGCTTAAAGTGCTTTCACTCTTGGTCTACAAGATATTTTGATCAATTGATTGAGTTATTGATTGAAGCTTTCCCTGATGGTTCATTACTACCTAAGAATACATATGAAGTGAAGAGAAGATTATGAAAGTGTTCGATCTTGGATATATAAAGAAATATGCATGTCTAAATGATTGTTGTCTATTTTGGAAAGATAGATCTGATCAAGAGGTATGTCATATTTTTTATTCATAATAGTGGACAGATGCTAAAAAAAGTTTAGTTGGAGGAAAGAAAAATTAAATGAAGTATATCAAGATTGTTCGATACTTCCCATTGATTCCTAGGCTTCAAAGATTGTTTAAAATAAAAAAGTCTACTTAAGAGATGATTTGATCACATGCCAAATAGAGAAATATAGATGGGTTATTACGACATCCAGCTGATGGAGAAGCATGAAAATCCTTTAACTCTAGATATCCTGATTTTGCTTCAAATCCACATAATATTCGCCTCGCATTAGCAAGTGATAGTATTAATCCATTTAAGATTATGAGTACATACAACATTTGGCCCAAACTTTTGGTTCCATACAACATACCTCCTTGGATTGCAATGAAACAATCATCTTTCATTATGTTTACTATTATACCAGGGGAGAACAGTTCAGGAAATAATATTTATGTCTATCTCCAACCACTAATAAATGAGTTGTGTGAATTATGGTATGGAGTGATAACCTATGATGCAGCTTCCGACAATCTTTTAACTTACAAGTTGTATTAATGTAGATGATCAATGATTTTCTTGCTTATGGTATGCTTTTTGGTTGGAGTACTAAAGGTAGATTTGTTTATCCTTGCTGTGCCAAAAATACAGAGTCTATAAAGTTATATAGAGGGAAGAAATTCTCATATATGGCTCATCGCCGTTGCTACTAGAGAATCACTTATTTCGCCAACAAAAACAATACTTCAATAACACATAGGAGATTTGTAAAGCACCTACAAGGAAGATTGGTAGTGACATTTTACAATAATTACATAATGCACATTTTCCTTTGGGTAAATCAAGAAGCTTAAAAAGAAGACGTAATGTAGAAGTGACTGAACATCAAGTTTGGAAGAAAAAAAATCAATTTTTTTGTACTATCTTATTGGGAGTATAATTTACTACCCCACAATCTTGATGTCATTCATATTGTAAAAAATATATGTGATAATTTTATTGGTACTTTATTTGATCTTGATAAATCTAAAGATAACTTGTAAGCACGACAATATTTGGTGGATATGGAATCAAGAGATGCATCCACAAATTCTTGAAGATGGTTCTTATTTTTGCCCTCAACTTACTTTACAATATCAAAAAAGGAGAAGTTGATGTTATGTGAAGTTTTAAAATTTTTAAAAATGCCAAAAGGTTATGTATCTAATATTTCAAGGTGTGTTAATATTACTGAATGTAAGATTGTGGATCTGAAAATTCATAATTCTCATGTGTTTATTGAAGAAATTATATCAATTGTTTTGAGGACATGTTCCTCTTCTGATGAAATTATACATATTGTTGTGGAGATATCAAAATTTTTTAAGTCAATTTATGCCAAGGTTATCAATCCGAATGAGTTGGATATGCTATAAAATAATATTGTAATAACATTATGTAAGATGCAAAGATCAATGCTCCTGTCATTCTTCACGATTATGATCCATCTACTTATTCACTTTGCCGGGGAAGTAAAATTAGGTTGTCCAGTTCACTATAGATGAATGTATCCATTTGAGAAGTAATTTAGTAGTAATTATTCACTCATGTTAATATTATTCAGATTTATATAAGCTTCTTAATGGTTTTTATTACTTTCAGATTTTTTTTAGT